CGGATTTCAAATCTTTGCCTTGATTCTTGCGATTCTCTAGTCTGCTCTTGGATCTCTGTATAATATTCTTTTTTTTAATATATTTTATTGATTTTTTTATGGAGAGATAGGGAGAGGGATAGAGAGTTTGAAACATCAATGAGAGAGAAACATTGATCAGCTGTCTCCTGCACAGCCCTCCTGGGGATGTGCCGGCAACCAAGGTACATGCCCTTGACCGGAATCGAATTTGGGACCCTTCAGTCCACAAGCTGATGCTCTATTCACTGAGCCAAACCGGATCGGGCTCTGTATAATATCCTTTATTTCAGTCAGTGTATGCTAAATTTCTCGGTCCTTTTCCATATCCTCGAGGGTCTCACTAGATTTATTGAGGTTCTCACTAAATTTATCAGTGGTTTCTAGAAAATTCTTGAAAAATCTAATAACCGTGGTTTAGAACTCTATATCCAATAGTTTCCTTTCCTCCCTTTCTGTCATTTGTGACATTTCTTTTTTTTTTTTAATATATTTTATTTTTTACAGACAGGAAGGGAGAGGAATAGAGAGTTAGAAACATCGATCAGCTGCCTCCTGCACACCTCCCACTGGGGATGTGCCCGCAACCAAGGTACGTGTCCTTGACCGGAATCGAACCTGGGACCCTTGAGTCCGTAGGCCGACGCTCTATCCACTGAGCCAAACCAGCTAGGGCAGTGACCTATTTCTTTGTCTCCGCATTTTGGCTGTTCCCCTGTGGTGATAGAGTGGCTTTCCGTGCTAGGTGTCCTATAGGGCCCAGTGGCTCAGCCTCCCCAATTACCTGATATGGACACTCTTGGTGCACCCCTTTGTGGGTTGTGTGCACAGTCTTGTTGTAGTTAAGCCCTGATTGTAGTTGGTATCACTGGGTGGAATTGACCTCCAGGCCAATTGGTTGCGAGAATCAGCTGTCTCTATGGTGGGAGAACTTCTGTGCTGGAGACACCCTTCTGGGGCAAGACTTGCTTCAGTGGGGCTTTGGTGCTCACTGAGTCTGCCCCCTGAGTGTGTCCCTTATGGATCTGAGGAGTTGTAATCTGAATGGTCCCACTCTGACCACTGGGTACACTGGCACTTGGATCTCTAAGGAAGTGCTAATTTAGCCTTTGCCTGAGGCTACCCAGCAGGAGCTACAGGGAGATCTGCAGATTCCTCCTCTTTGGGATTTGGAGGTGCCCAGATGAACCCAA